TTTTTAAAAAAGTTAAAAAAAAAAAAAAAAAAAAACAAGAAAAAAACAAGTTTTTTTTCTAGGATAAAAGGGAAAAAGAATTAAAATTATTAGAATTAGAAATGATTAGATTAGAATATTGAAAGAAGCCAAAGTTAAGAAACAAACCAGAAGTGATCATGCCTTTGCTGTTCGTTGCAGATTCGAACATCGGTGATCACCCTGCTGTTTCCCAAGAGGCCCTTCAGCTGGGTGAAACATTTCCTCATCGCCGCTGTGATTATCGCCCTCAATAATGTACTGGTCATCCTTGTGCCCACTATCAAATACATCTTTGGATTCATAGGTGAGTTTCAGAAAGGCTTTTGTTTGGCCAGCTCGAACTTACAAACACCTCCTTAAATGACAGATGTGGCGATTATGCGGCCTCGGCAAGACCCCCCCAGTCCATCTCAGACTTCCTGGGCTGCAGTGTCCTCACTGGTTATTTTTCCTTTCTCCCAAGTGTCATTGGGAGCTGCCTTATTGTTTTCTAGCCTTTTCAATAGATGAAGAAACTGAGCGCAAGGAAATAAAGTCACACAGCTTTGGGTGGACCCAGGATTTGGACATGGGTCACAGCTTTAAGGGAAGAGTCAGGAAGACACGTTACCTAGTACAAGCTCTCTCAAGCCTCTGAGTATCAGCTGGGTATTAAGAATATGGTCAGAAGAACAGGAGCTTGATAGTTCAAAGCATCTCATTTCCCTTAAGCACATGATCTGTAATGCACTGAGTTCCTCAGTCCACTGATAGAGGGTTTACTCAGTTTCTAAGTGTAATATGAAACTTTCAAGAAAATCAGGTACGGACAGCTTGAAAAGTGAGAGTGGAAGATTTATTTTTTATGTGTGTACGGGTGTGTGTGCCTGCGTGTATGTGTGTATATCACATGTGCACCTGAGGCCCACAGTTGTCAGAAGAGGGCATCTGATCCCCTGCAACTGGAGTTATGAATGGCTGTGAGATGCCATGTGGCTGCTGGTCACCAAACCCAGGTCCACAGCAAGGGCTCTTAACCATTGAGCCATCTCTGAAGCCCTGATATTAGATCTATTTTAATTTTCTCTATAAAGACGCTTTCTATAACTGCATAACCAAGATGAGCTGTGTGATCTCAATGTGTGCATTTACTGTGAAGAATAGCACTGTATTTGCTAGTCCTGAAGTGTGTGCCTTGGGCATCTGATTTTCTGGGAAGACCAGCCATGTGAGACTCTGATCTGCCTACATGTCTCTCCCCAGGGGCTTCCTCTGCCACTATGCTGATCTTCATTCTTCCAGCAGCTTTTTATCTCAAGCTTGTCAAGAAAGAACCTCTTAGGTCACCCCAAAAGGTTGGGGTAAGTAACGCTTACAATGTCCCCACTGTAAGTGGCTCTTCAACCATTTAGACTCAGAAAACATACATGGCTTAGACAAGTGACACAATGAACAAGACCAAAATTCAAAGATGGGCTGGGACCCTATGGATGGAGAAAAGAGTGATTTCTGGCACTCAAATGATTCTAGGCTTTCTTGTCTTCAGTTAACAAATACCTAAGTATCTTGTTGATCCCTCCCACAAGTCAGATGCTAGTTGGGTGAATTTCCATGGGTGTCAAGAAATAGTGCAGCATTCTGGTCCTATTTGCTAAATTGTTGGAGCAGAGTTGCTTACATTTTCCCTTCGATCAAACCCAGAAGGCTCTGCTGTTTGGGCTGATACAAAATAAAAACATTTGTTTTCCAGCTAACCTTTTCAGATGTAGAATATTATATTATTAAACATATTTCTTCTCCATAATAAACACTACAGAAACATGCGCTGCAAGTAACTTTTTCCAATAACTAAATATTATTAGTGACTAGTTTAAAATGCCTTCTAGTAAGGCTTAGAATGAATACTTCTAAATCCAAACCTTGGTCTTCAAGTCACTTACCTGTTGGATTGCTTAGGGACTTTAGAAGAGCTTGGTAGCAAAGCCTCCTCCTGCCGTCTTTCCCCAAAGTCTGAACTGCATGTGGTCCATCTTTTCTGGATTTCTGCAGCAATGTGACCTGGGGAAATCATCTCCTAGGCCCCTCTAGTAGAAAGGTTCACCTGCTGTCTGTATGGAATAGTTAAAAAAAAACCTCTTCTAGTTAAAATTCTGAAATTAAATGTGTGCTTTGTAACCCTATTCCTGGGAGACATGAACAAACATCTACTTATTCCAGACGGGGAACCAGCAATAGGCCAAAGTAAGGACAGCAAAGTCCTACTTGGTGATGAGTTAGTTACAGGGGTATGGGTGAGGGGTTGCTTACAGAACAGAAATGACTCTAAGACAGCTGTTTCACCAAAAACCCATCCAGCAAGGGGGACAGTTCACAAAAGCAGGGAACCTGGAGCATCCTGCACAACCTGAAGGTTGGAGAGTGTCTCTTTCAGGCAGGACATGGGGTCTGAGTCTCTTCTACTCTGGTCTCTCCTTTTGTTGAGGCAGCTGGGCTTGTCTGAGACTATCTCTCAGGAGGCCTTACTGCTTATATAACTGTGGGGAGGAAGGGGCCTAGTGAACCTGGTCAATTTCAGAAACTTCCTGAAGCTACTGAGTTGTTCACTTCCTGAACTTAAGGGTCTTCCCTGCAGGATGGAGTGTTTCACCTCCCTCAAAACATGCTGTTACTAATCTCCCTTTAGAGCAACCTGGTGCTTACTTCCCTTTAGACAGCCTGTTGTTTACCCAGATTCCCTCCAAGATAGAAGGCTTCATCTCCAAGGAAACGGGGACACACCAATGTGTTAGCCATACACATACTTACAAAGATACATACTTTTTTGCCTTTTTTCAAAAATATGCAACATATATCTGGGTTCCATTTCATTTATGCATTTTGTAAGATTAGACTCACATACTACTCCTATTATGACTCATTCTTTTCCACACAAAGAATCATAAACGTTTCCTATATCATTCAATCTTTATCACTTAAACTCCCGTACTTTCAATGTACCAAATCAATTGACCATTACTCTATTTTGAATCCTTAGGTTATATGTCTCTTTCTTGCAGGTCAGGGGATCTGAGCCTCTTCCAGGCTGATCTCTGTTATTACTAATAACTAATGATAGTATTATTATTTTTGAGGGGGCGGGGCTTGTCTGAGCCTCATCTAGACAGCTCAGTTTGTCTGAGGATGTTTTTGTCTCCTTTCCCAACCAGGGATCTAAATTGATTTGCTGTTGTTTGTTGCTAAGAATGGATTTGTCACATAGATAGCATTATGTCTCAACCACCTGAAGCAAACTGCTATTTGGTTTCTGTGCTCCTTAATGGTCTCCCTCTGAATTGCAGGCTTTAATCTTCCTCGTGACTGGGATTATCTTCGTGATGGGAAGCATGGCACTCATTATAATTGACTGGATTTACAACCCTCCGAATTCCAAACATCATTAATCCCAGGGAAAAGCTTTTCTATTAGAAATGGCTAAGATTATGCGCCAGAGGACATTCTAGTTGCCGTGATTAGAATATTATTCGGAGGAAATAACAGGACAATTCCAAAGACATTTACTAGATGTATCACCAGACACTTGTGGAAGAGAGAGTTGTGGTTTTGTCGAGAATGTCTATTGATGCATTAAAAGTCTGTGGTGCACATTTTGACCCAAGTCTTCTAGAGCGGTGTATGACGATCAAGGTGTGTTTTTTGCTGCACTACAAGCAGAATCTGGTTTGGCTGCATATCTTGGTTAGCAGACAATAACCTTTGCCCATGTCCACTCCCCACCCTTCACCACCCGAAATTAACAAATAATTGTATTCTCAGAACATCAAACAAAAATGCCCTGGTGGTAAAGCTAGCACCACTTCTGATCCCCCCCCGCCCCACCATCTTACTCCAGTGCTAGGGGTCTGTTGACTGACAGAGGCAGAGGCAGAGCATGTGGACTGTCCTTGTGAGGTACAGGAATGATGTGTATCCGTCTAGAGCAGTCGTTCTTAACACAAAAGTAGTAGTTTGCTAAACCTGCTTTCAACACTGAACTCGTGACTTTTTCATTTGATAGATTTTCTTAATGGTAAATGTTAAAATATCTTACTAAATGTGAGGGAGTTTTACTTAAATTATAGAGAAACAATAAAAAAGGCTCATAGCTAAACTGCCCAGTGCGGAAGCATCTCCTTCTTCACGTTCTTAGTTTTTGTCACACTTTTGTCCTTGAACAAGGCTCTCCCTCTTGTCTTCCATTCTCATTAATAACTTTCAGAAGCTCACAGTTCATATGGAGACAAACTCCCCAGGATTGTTCAATACATTTTTATCTGATAAATATTCAGTGCAGGAACCTGTGATTTTGCTATGTTTGTGTATATAATCTCATTCAGTAGTCATTGGACTGTCAGTATCAATGTATGGTACGTTTGATTTTCCTTTTTTACGTGTGCAGTTTTCTTCACAGTCAAGCATTTATATTATTGGGGTGGGGCAGGGAATTCAGTTGGTGGGCTCAAAAGTCCATTTGTACGTGTCTGCCTATTGGAGATATTTAAAATTTGAAACCAAAGTTATACATAGTTCAGTAATGCTCTTCAGTGTTTACAATGATGTAATCATCGACAAGAAAGTTTTAAAGAAGAAGCTCTTTATTTGTAAATAATTTTCAACACAAAGGTTGTTTTTTCTAGCATGTCTACCATAGGATTTAGTTCATTTTAGCTTGCATAGGCATTTGGTGACATTCATTTATCATTAATATAATGTCAAGTGATTAGAAATAAAACACTAACACTGCAAAGGAATACGGACTACTGTTCTTGTTCACCTCCTTAGGATACTCAAACGGAATGAGCTTCCCAGTTACTACTCGCTGCCTAGAACTTGTGGAGCTCACTGTTAGTTTTTTCAAGTCAGTAACAAGAATATGTCTTGTGTATTTTACATCTCAGTAAAGCTAAGCATGAAATTTAAGTGTCACACAAGTAATGACGGCATAAGTCAGAGTCTAACAGTCTTTTTCTGTAGTGATACCTAAGAAAGTATACATTTGTTTGATGTGTTATTTTCTGGAGGCAAAATTACTATAAAGTGGCGTGTTTTGTTATGGAAATTGAGCATTACTAGAAACTATCATAACTTTTAAGTTACTATGATTTGGAAAAAAAAATCACTCAGCAGCAGCTTTTAAGATGTCTGTCCATTTTTATCACCTAAAGAATATATCAAGAAAGTAGAAAAGGTGTCTACGGAATGTTAAGGGTGTTTAATCTGAACATATTTAAATGTAAATATTAAAGACTAATCCAAAATATTGGAAACTGTAAAGTCTGTATATATTTTGAATATTTTACATTTAAAATGACTGACTTGAAAATATCAGCACGTGTAATGATGTGAAAGTTCAAGAGCAATACCACAGTGCCGGTAGTAAACACCATTCTCTCTTGTGGCCACTTCCAGGTTTAGCGTTCATGAAGACTGCAGGGCAGGCATACACATGGCACCTTGTTCTGGTTAATTTAACCCCGTTTGTAAACAGATACAAACTTTATTTTCTTATTTCATTTATAAGATGGGTCAATGTATTGGGAGGCTTTTTTATTAGAGAAAGTGTATATTGGTATATAATAAATGAACTTTTCAAATGACCAGGATGTGATTTTCCTTCTATCATTAGAGAAGGCAAGGAAGCTGTGAGTTCCTTGAACATGAAACAAAATCGGAAATCTTAATATTACTGTCTTAATATTGATGCATCTTCATTGTATGTGTGCAAAAAGACACAAAACATCAATACTTTCAATATGCACACACACACACACACACACACTATTGCTGTTGTAACATACTACCACATATTTAGTAGTAGTATAAAAGAATACAGAAAATGTAAAGCCAGGTGTGGGATCACGTACCTGTAATCCAGTACTGAAAGTAGAAGCAGGGAACTGTCAATTTGAGCCCAGCCTGGGCTATATAATAAGTGTATGGAAACTCACAGCAAAAACCACCCAACGGGACCACTCGGTGGATAGACACAGTTTATTTGGAAATAAACCAACTGTTTGGAAGCAGAGAACAGCAGCTAGCAGAAGAGGTTTTATAGGTGATTGGGGCTTGGGTAACTTGACTGTTGGGAAGCTGTGGCCTCCTGATAAGCTGGGGGGTGGTGAGTCACCTGGTTTCTGAGAGATGCTAAGTTTTAGTTTCCTCTTTCTGCTTGAGGAACCTGCCAGCCTGCCATTCTAGGGAGCACGGCAGTGGTTGCCATTGTGGGGACCTAACACTGGCCTTTTGTTGATGATAAGGGGCAACGGTGGTCTCTCTAGCTACTTCCGGCTGACCAGGGATGATGATAAGGGAAGGGGGTCTCAAGAAGCTGAAATGCTGGTCTGAGTGTGGGGTCAGTCAAGAGGTAGGTAGTAGGAGACCTGAGGGAATTTGGTTAAGAGCGTCTGGTTCACTGACCATCAGGTCATCTCATTGATTTTTTTTCCTGAAATGATTTGAAAGATGTGGAATAATCATCATTATGAGGAGGACAGGTATCAGTGGGTCAAGGAGTAAGGCTGGAAAAGTAAAGGCAAGAGTGACAGGCACAAGTTCTAGGCAGGGAGCCAGGAGTCAGAACAGGGTAAATTTTAAATGTTCAGATTGGAGTTTCTTGATGTGAGCTTCTAAAAGCATCTGTCTATTGGGTTTTTCATTATTTGTCTTTTGGCTGGCATGACTGAATTCAGGATTTGCTTTTCAGGCACTGATAGCTGTGTGAGTTCTCTCCAAAATGGCCTCTAGACAGGGAGAGAGAAGAAATTTAGTCATAATAATAGTGGGTTTTCTCCTTTTGTCTGCAGGTAGGCACTGCAGAGTTGAACTAGGCCAAGATTTGAAGTCTTGCACCTGAATAGCACTTTTTATTAAGAACAAGATGATCAGTGAGAAAAAATTGTTTAAATAATATCTAAGCCTAATGTCTGGGAAGTACAATCTCTTGGACTGTAAAGAAACATATTACTTTAATTTTTTGGTTGTACTCTCCTTTTGGGTGTTTACAACGATACAGTTGGCCCAAGTTAATTGAAATTTTGTTTAACTGTGAAGGTCAGTTAAGGCTCTGGTCCTTGGGGATCATTTGGATTTTGGGGAGAGCCCCTGGCTCCTTTGGCTTTCCCTTTACGAGTTCCATTATGTGAGGAGAAGTCAGAAGGTCCTGCTTAACTATGACTTCACTTGGAAGCATGGAGGAAACTTTTCCTCTGTGTTGACCCTCCTCCCCAGACACTGGTACAAGTCCATCTGGTGGTATCTCCACGGCCTCCCTGAACAGGAGGACAGGTGACTCATCACAGTTTCAGGACATTTTGAGAAATGCCTCATAGTCCCCTTGGACATGGTCAACCTTGGAGGACAAGGAGCAAAAAATTTCTCCTTTATGTCCCTCTAACCAGATTGATGCAAGCCTTTAAGCATGATTATTAAACACCCAAGAAGGTCAGTTATACCAGTCTGGCACTTTTAATTACTGTGTAATATGATCTAGACATATATTCTTTTCCTTAAGTTAGTATTTATAAGAACTAATTTAAGTCAAGGTTTGACTGAACTTTGACCTTAGAAATTTTAAGATTGTTTTAGTGGGTGGATTTAGACATATACAGGGCTGTCCCAAGAATGTGAGGAGAGTGGAATCTTAAACACTGTAGATTTCCATGAGGAACTGAGCACTTACTGCATTAAATTAGAGAAAAAAGAGATTTAACATCACAGGTGAAGTAGGCATAGCCCAGGAAAGGGATTTTAAAATAATTTTCTTAGGTCTGTCTCAAATGAAGGCTGGTTTACTACAAACAGAAGCAGTCTGCTTTCTTTCCCAGCCTCCCATACCCTGATTTATAGTTTTTCAGAAGGAGAGTCGGGGGGTGGGGTCAGGGGGAGGCAGGGTTACATCACGTACCTAAAGACAAGGCATAAGATGACCAGGATTCAGACCAAGCTCACCAAAACTGTTTCTTCTGGACTACACCCATCTGGTACAGGGAGGCAAAACCTGGCTCCTCTTGAGCCAAATTATCTTGTTATGGGTGAAGGAAAACACCAAAAGTAGCACTTGCATAATACAGAGAAACATAAAGGACATTTTCCAGTAGCTACAGATAACCCAATACTTGTCCACATCCATTTAATAAAAGACTATGAGTGAGTGTGCAGTATAAGCCAGAGGAGTGGACTGAAATTTTCAGCTGTAATAGTAATTATTATAACAACCCTGTATTTCTATAAACCTGCTCAGACCTTCAATAAACTTGTTTAATAACATTCACAAACAAATTTACCATTTATTGTGCAAATTTACCAAGCAATTAATATTTACCATTTTATATATATTGAGATAGGGTCTCCCTGTAGCCCCAGCTGTCCTGGAACTCACTATGTAGACCAGGCTGGCCTTGAACTCACAGAGATCTGCCTGCCTCTGCCTCCCGAGAGCTGGGATTAACGGTGTGCGCCACCACACCCAGCTGAAAGATTACATTTTGACCTGAACAAATATCTTTGTGTTAATTTAACAGTTTTAGTTTGTATTAAGATAGATTTTGATTTTAATAACTAAGATTTTGTAATTACTCTTTGTTGAGATTATGGTTTTTATTTTTAAACCAAAACATCTTTGAAATGGACAAAGTGGATATCTTAAAACTAAAACCAAAAAAGATATTTAACAAATAGGATTTTTTACACAACCAGCTTAGATGCTGTTTTGTATAAGCAATTAGCATTTAAAAGCTTTGTGGAACATTTAATAGACCTAGAGACACTGTTTAATAGATTTTAAAGTAATTAAGGTTTATAAGGCCTGTGACTGTATCATCAAAATAGTTTACAACTTTGTGCATGTGTACTTTGATTAGGCATGACAAAAATAAAACCAATGATTATTGTGCATAGTAAAAGAATGAGAAAGGAGAAAAGAACTAGAGTGGCCACTTCAAAATTGTCTCGACATAAGCAATACATGAACACAATTATCATAGACACACAACACAATTAGGTAAAGTCTAGGTGCATCAAAGGGTAGGGGAAGGCAGGTTTTACTTCTGCATTACAGTGCATTGCATGGTCAGTCAGATTCAGTAATCTACTTAAAGAGAGAAGAGCTCAGCTGCCCCAGGCCATGAGGTTCAGGAATGTATCAGGGTCTTCCCTTAAACAAAAGTCTTGCAAGGTGTGGTAGGAATGAAGATTAGAATTCCTTATTGTAAACTGAGTTCCAAGTTTTACAGGTTTTGAAAGCAAAGACTAATGTTTAATATTTCTTACAAGGCGGGATGCCTTTACATATGAAGCCAGCAGAGTTTCTCTTGTCGAAGTTATTAGTATTACATAAATCAGAGGAGACAGGAAGGTCAGTAAGGAAACATTAACACTTCCGTTTAAGAATAAATAAAGTTTCAAAGCAGTTACTCCAAACATGCAGTTATCTCATTTTGTCTCAAGCTGTTGTCTTGGAGGCAAGAGACTGGTTTAGGCCATCTTGGGAATCCGCTCTTTTTGATGTACACTAGAAGAAGCCACGTGCCATTGTATCTGACCCAGGTACCAGCTAGCAGAGTAAGTCATACAGGTAACAAATGGGAACCCACCAACAGGCTTTAAGATGGCTCTCCCCAGGAGTGCCCAGAGACTTCAGGACTGAGACGTAACTGCCACGTGGTCATCGCTAAGAGCCTGAGGTGTTCTCCAAGAGCTTTAGAGACCTCCATTCAAGCCCAACCAGGGTTCCTGGCTTCAATTACTGAAAAGAATTTTAAGAATAGCTAGTATAATAAAGACAATGTAGTGCAGGCTTAAGCATGAGAGTTAAGGGAAAAAGAGTTGCTCTGGGCGGGGGCGGGTAAAATGTGGGATATAGCCAAGTGAATAGAGCTTCCAGGGAAAAATAGTCTTTCTTAAAACAAGTCCATAATCTATTTGCATATAGATTTTTGTGGTAGGAGACAAAGTATGAAGAGGAAGATGAGCGAAGACGGCCAGTCTTAGAATTTATCTTTAATTCTGACGCAATCTTGAAAAGTACTTTAATTTACTAATTTTAATATTTTCTTTACTCACATGTTTTTTTCTTAGAGCTCTTATCATTGTAAATTGTTAATTTTGTAATTGTCTTTTTAAATAATTTCACATTTTTGTTAAAATATCTCTAAGCAAGAAGACAGAGAAGAGAGGGCGAGCAGGAGACAGGGAGGAAAGGGGTGAGGGAGAAAGAGGGAGAGACGGTAGAGAAACAGACTGGCAGCTCCAAGACAGGAGCACTTACCAAACTGTCAGCGGGACAAAGGAAAGCAGTCGGGAAGATGGACTCAACAGTCTCAGGCCAGATGTGGCGGGAACCAGCAGAAGCAAGATGGTCACATCGCAGGAAGGTCCCGTCAGCACCAAATGTATGGAAGCATGCAGTGAAACCACGGAACAGGACCACTCCCTGGACAGAAACAGCAGTTCATCTGGGAACAAACCAACTGCTGGGCTGCCTCCCTGAAGCAGAGAACACAGCTAGCAAAAGAAGCAGAACAGGTTTTATAGGCAGTCAGGGGCTCCGGTGACTTTCCAGGATGTTCCTGCCTGGGAGGTGACTGTTAGGCCTCCTGATA